TTTATTTCTCCATTTCCCCATCTCAACTTAATTCATTCCTGATGACAAACTCAGAGTTAATGGATTTATTTACTTAATCATGGATGTATTCATATATTCATTCATTTATTCTATCAAATCTTGCTCCAGTTAGTGTCTTATAGCAAAACAATTCAAAAGGAGTTAGCAGTTTAATAGAAGAGAAAGCAAAGTAAATATTGTAAGCTGGTTTGGTTACATGTTTATATCAGAGATGTATATAAATTATCTAGAAGTGTGTCTGGAAGTCTTAATAGAACTTTTTCAGGTGGCCAGGCAAACTAAGGGCACTGAAGATGCTATGTAAAAACACACAGAGTAATGATTGAAGAGGTGGTGTTCCCCAGAACAAAGCAGTCTCTTATATCTAGAGGATGGCATTTCTCTTTGAGGGTGGCTGGTGTGAGATGAAAATGAAGAGAAAAATAGAAAACATATTAAGAAGACTATTACGTAGTGTGAGGTAAAATGCACATCTTAATCAACGATGAATGAATAATGACAGGATTTTAGATAGGAGGGCTACCTTCTCAGGTATAGATTTTGCAAAGTTATACCAAGCAGCAGAGTGGAAAAGCAACTAAAAGAGAGAGAGAGAGCAAAAGGTAATAAACTAAAGAAAAGGAAGTGTATGCAAGTAGATGTAGTATAGCAGCGTGGAGTTAAATCATTCAGATAAGATGTCTCACTGGTCTGAAAGCTTGATGTTAATTACATATTAAACAATATTTCAAATTGTCTGAGGAAATGAAATGTGTGTGTAACAGACCAGCAATGATGTTATCTTGACTGTCGGATATGAATAACTGAATATATTCACTCACTGTGAATGGATCAGTTACTTATACCATACTGTTTAAAAGAATAGTTATATAGAAAACAGATCACTTCTAGCAAGATGACCAAATTATAGGATTCTGATACACAAAACATTAATTGATGAGACTCTAGATAAAAATGGTTAATGCTTTCCAGTTAGAATGACCTAATCCAAAAGCTGACAGAGGAGGAAAGAGGAAGAAAGCTCCAGGGAGATAACACTTGATGGATGGCCATGAATTCCCTGAGATTTCAAGGAAGATGAACTCGGAGAAAGGAAAGAAAGTCATGGAGGCATGATAGCATATGTTGAATTCCGGAAGTTAATATTACTTGTTGAACATTTACTGCCTCCCTAGTTAGACCTTTAACAAGTGTGGCAGGATAACTTGGGCATGAAAGAGTAAACAATGGGAAGTGATGACGGGCCCCTGGTACTGAACTAAATTCCAGAGCTGATCCTGCTTCTCGTCACAGAGATAGAAAACAAAAACAAAAACAAAAATCCCTTCTTTTTTAGTAACGGTACAACTTTCTGGATTGCTTTTACCAGCATCTAAGTATATTGAATTCATATTTATTTACCAAAGAAACATCTGCAACTGCAGGATGTTTTCCACCACACCTTCAGTCTTGGCACTATTTGGTAATTACAGGATAGTAAGTTCTGTATATTAGGCATTGTGGAGACATACTGAACAAATCCAAATAACTATTAGACTTCAAGATGCTTGCAATCTTTCTTTTTACCTATCCATAGCCCTTAACACAGCTTCTCATACATTAAAGCAATGTGGTAAATGTGTATTGCATTAAGTTACATATACATGAGTAGCAAATAAGAATATTAAAAAAGAACAATTTGAGGTTATAAGAGCTGGAATGAATATAGATGTGTAGAGAATAAGTGTAAAAATGAATAAGGACTTTGAGGCCTTAAGGACTACCTATAATGTTAAGCAGACATGCAGGAGAAAAACAAGTAGGCACTTGGAGGTGGAATTGGAGAAGTTCTCCAGAAAAAGGTGGTCATGACTCCACAGAGACAGCAGCAGACTCAGGTCACTGAGATTCATCTGTGGTGCCAATGGCTCTTAGATTTTCTATTACAGTAAAAATATTTATGTGGTATATACTCTATCCCACATACTCTTTTTAATGCGACATTGACACTGATCATTGATTTACTTATATTTTCAATATTATGAAATTAAGTTTGAGTTTCAAAACATATGACCAAGAAAGGACGTCAAAGGACCATTTCTTTGGAAGACTCAAAGATTGAGCAGAACTGGGTTTCCAAATTGCCAGAGGCCACTTTCTTCCAGGGCAATCTTTCTTTCAGCTACTCAGGGGCTTGCTGCAGCCTGATTCTAACTCATGCATTCATTATTTAATTCCTTGGATGTAAACCCATTTCTACAGATCAAGAAATGGCTCATACTCTGTTGGGTACCAGATATACTGCACAAAACAGCAATAAAGTACTGACACCAAAATCACTGAATGACCTCTTAGACTCCTTTAAATAGCAGTCACTCTGTAGTTCACCACTGTCTAATTGCTCACTTGTGAAGAATATTTACTATTATTATTATTACTTTTAGAATGGGAAGTCAATTTGTCACTGATAACAGTCTTTAATCTTGAGAAAAAAATATGCCTTTAAATTATTGGCAGTTTTGAAAATTCTTAAAAATCACTGTATGCTTTTGCTATTCTGACCCTTATTATGTTTCCAAGCATAATATTTTAGAAGTAATCATGCAATTTAAAAAGAATAGATTATATTGTAAAAATAAATTTTTAAAAAAGAAATCCTCATTTTGGATTTTGTAAGTCACATTCTGCAAAGCTTTTGATCATTTCCCTCTAAAACCCAAAAGTTTGGATAATTTCAATTAATATTAAGTATAAATAATATACAACAAAAGAACTAGAAATGATTTAATATTTATTTTCATTCTTCCTTGTATCAACCAAAAAAAATTGCAAAGTAAATTAAATAGGTCTGACCACACTATTTTATCTATTTTAGTAGTGTCTGCCAACAACTTTATGAGCATTAAATTACACATTAAATATTCATATTAATGAAATTAAATGTTGTAAAATACTATTATCCATATTAGGTTTCCATAAAAACAATTGCAGTTTTTGCCATTATTTTTAAATTCTGCTCACAATTTATTAAAGACTATCTGCAGGTGTTTATGCTCTACCAAACACTATGGTGAGATATTTAAATATAAATATTATCCCATGTTATGGTAACAAAAGATTAGAAAAATTCAGCAGCATATTGGTAAATCTCAGCACTCCAACTTGAACCCAGTCCTATCTGACACCAAAACCAACATTTTGCTCTAAAATCCTACTTCTCAAAAAGACCCAAATATCCCTTGCCAATAAGAGAAATCTTCAAATTGGTTTTTTGAGTAGGTCCTTATATTCCTCTTTAAACTAAAAATCAACCAGAACAAAACAGAGGTCTGATGCCCAGATTAGCCAGTTAGCTTCTGTGGTTCAGAAAACAAAGAGAATTTGTTAACTCTTATTTGTTTTTCTCCCTATATGTGACACTGCCCTAGAGCAGGTGGATATGCAAGTGGGCATAACTGTCTACACATTCATTTGCATAAATGCCATGCTTCAAGGGCAGTCATTTCTTTGTCTTCCATTTTGCAGGTCATCATGTACTGAGGATGCCTCGTATGTGCCTGAGGGATGTCCCTTTCCTTGAGGAAGTTTATCTTTCAGTGAATCAAAAGAATATTTCCTTTTACCAAAGGGAGATGTGACTGAGATAGAAGATGGGGTTGATTTCTTTTTCTCTTTGTCTCATTTTAATACCTTAAACATTTTTCCTCAATAAATGAGACATGTAGTTAAAATGGGAGCAGAAGAAAACTAGGTAAAAAGGACAAGAAAAAACAATGAATTAAGAAACAGAACTTCCTTAGGGAGACATAAACAACTTTCAGAGCTTTCTGGCTTTTAGTGAGAAAGCAGAAAAGTTTGGATATGAGAAACTACATAAAGCTCAATAATTAGAATTAGAAATGAACACTGGGGTGAGAGAGAAAATTAAATATTATATTATTTCTATATTATGTGTTTTTTTAAATAAAGGGAAAAATTGCTTGTATATATTAAAATATCTAAATAAAATAAATGGAATCTAAAACAAAAAAAGAATTATATTCCAATAATTTTAAGAATCATATGTGTTAGGCAGTGTTTAAGGGACTGTATATGTTGTATTTCACTCAATCTACAAAGCACTCTTAAAGCACAGGTTGTACTGCAATGCTAGTTTTATATTTAGAGAAACAGCCTTGTAAGAGGTTAAATAACTTGCCCAAGGACACACAGCTAATAAATGGCAAAACTAGAATTTGAACCCAGGAAATTCGATTCCACAGACTAAATACTTATCCACTATACTCAGTGATCATAATAAGAAATGTTAGTTTCATATTTACTGTTTCTAAATATTGTATTGAAAGACATAATTTTAGACAATTTTAAGCACTATTATATCAACATGATACCTGAGCTTTTAATAAGAGAAATAACTCTCAGGAATACAATGCTACATCAATATCAAGTTAGTTATGCATCAGATATCAGGGGCTTTGGTGCCTAGTACTATATAGTCACGACATAGCCTTACAAAATGTATAAAAATACTTAATTTCAAACTCAATTTCAAGATATAAAAAAGCTTGAGTCAAGTTTTCTGGGCATGGGAGCAGCTTACTGCAGGCCATGAATCCGGCAGGAAAAACCGATAGGAGTGATATAAACATAACCAATTGTTTCAGCAGTGGAATTACAAGTTCCTCAATGTTGCATAAATAACTGGTAAAGAGCACAGGGCTTGAGTAACTACTAAGCAGACATCCACAAATCAAACTATTTAGTGTCACTATTCCTGGCAGTAGCACCAAACTCCATGTGGGATGCAAGAAGTTCAGAAAATTACACATCCTTACACGTGATTTAGTGATGGACTCCTCGAGGAATTTAGACAACAGACAGCTGCCCTGGTTAACTACACTTAGGGGATGTCTCATTTATTTAATCAAATGTTGTCATGTGAGACACAAAAATAATAAATCTTTAGATTCCTTTATTTCAAAAACAAATAAAATACTTACATTATTAACAGAAGAGCATACTGGTTTCGGTCCATAAAATCTTTGGGAAAGGACAACTGTAAAGGAAGTTCTTTTAAAGAAAGAGCAAAATATTAAAGATGGAGAGTCATTTACAGGTAAAACCATAAGACGCAGAGAAAGTTGTTCTTGAATAACATAGCATGCACAAAACTTTACCATAGTCGTCAATATGAAGGATTTTAATTTCTGGCTTTACTATCTTCTTCTTCAGGATAGCTTCCTTCAGCATAGAATTGCTTTCCAATATAAAATATTCTGTAACCAAAAAGGGTAGTGTAAATGGCCAACTCCTATGCATTAATCAAGAAACAGTGTGACACAACAAAAAATTATCCAGTTGTTACCATTTGGCAGGTGCTGTGCTAGGTACTGACTAACTCATCATTTTTCTTCTGAATTACTACAGCACTTAGTAATTACTGAATTACTAAGTGAGCTTTATTATACCAGTTTTTTCACTTGCTTCTATATTAAATTTATCATTTACATTTTCAAAATGCAAATCTAATCACGTTGCCAACCTGCTTAAGAACATTTTAGCAAAATACAAGATTATCTAGCACCAAATGAGATGAGATTCACAATGTCTTGATACCTTTACAAATTAAAAGGCTTAAATAAACACAGGATGAGGACACCTGGACTGTAGGTCAGGTGTTTAATAAGGTAGAAAAAGCATGAGCATGTAATATGATTCTAAAAATAATACTGCATAATCTGAAATACATGAAAATTATATTATCTAAGATGAAAAATACACTGGGTGAGATTAATAAAATATTAGAGACTGCAGAAGAAAAGAGTAATGACCTGGAAAATACAGTAATGGAGAAATATCAAAAAGCTTAATAAACATGAAGTGAACATCAGTAACTTGTGGAATTTTGATGTATATACATTGTATTAAATTTGTAGATCTATTTGGAGAGACCTTATTCATAAAAACAGTGAGACTTTGAATCCATATATATATATATGTATATATATATACACACATTCACATATGTGTTTGAATATGTATACATATATATCCACGTGTACATATTGTAGACAGTTATCTATATGTCTGTGTCTATGGCAATTTGAGTCTTTAGTTTCTCCCAGCAGTATTATATAGCTTTATAGAGGAGGTCTATATTTTTATTAGATTAATTCCTAGATACTGCATGGATTTTTGATGTTACTTTAAACAGTGTTTTAAAATACTCTTAAATTTTGTATTTTCATTGATAAAATAGTTGAATTTTAAGTAGTGACCTACACCTGTTACATGATAAATTCACTTATTTTCAATAGTTTATTGTGTGTACATTCCACAGTTTTTTTGTTTCCTTGCTTTTTGTTTTGTTCACCCTATGTCTTCTGCAAATAAACACAGTTTTACTGCATATATTTCTTTTCTTACCCATTTTAGTAGAGGCTAAGTCCTCTACTACAATGTTGTACAGAAGGAGTGAGAAAAAACATTCTTGACTTTCCCAGTCCTCAGGGAGAAGCATCATTCTTTCACTATTAAGCATGATGTCAGCTGTAGTATTTTTACAGATATCATTCATGAAGTTCAGAAATTGCTTATTTATCATATCTTAAGAATTACTATTAATTAATTATTATTATTTGCCAAAATTTTCAATCTTTTTCTAAATCCTTAGAGGTGTCAGTGTAATATGGTGAGTGACATTGTTTGTTGAAGGTCACGGCAAACATAGAATCTTTGGGTAAACCCAATATGGCCATAATAATCATACTTTCTATAATTGCTAGGTTTGACTTCCAAGTTAAGTCAAACCTAGCAAAGTCATGAGAAAATTTGATTTTTGTTGTTGTTGTTCTCCTAATATATATATCTGGATTTGTCAAGGCTTGCCTGATACTTTTTTAAAAAGTTTGTGTAAGCTTGGTTTTAATTAATTAAATGTTGCATAGAATGCACCACTGAATCTAGCCGGAACTGGAGCCTTCTTTGTGAGGAGAATGTTAACTGCATATTTATATATTATATTTCTTCTCGTGAATGTTTAGCGATTTGTATCTTTTAAGGAATTTATTCACTTTATCTAAGATGTTAAATTTACTGGCATAAAATTACTTAGAATGTTCTGTTAGTGTCATTCTAATGTCTGCAGCATTTCTATGGGCATCATATATTTTATTAATGTTATTACATTTTTCTCTTTTTCTTCTTGTCTCTCTCTCTAGAATTTTGCCAATTTTGCTGATCTTGGGGAAGCAACTGTTGGTTTTATACATTTTCTCTACTGTTAGTCTATTTTCAATATCATTTATTTCCTTCTTATTCATTTTTTATCTCCTTCTTTTGACTTTGTTTTAATTTGCTCTTCTTTTTCTAGTTTCTTAAGGCAAAAGAGAAGATTTTCAATTTAAACGTTTTCTTTTTATACAGTAAGTTAGAGTCATAAATTTCTTTCTAAACAACACTGTAGTACCCCCTAAATCAGGATATGTTGTGTTTCTATTTTTATAAAATAAGTTAGAGTCATAAATTTCTTTCTAATCAAAACAGTAGTTACCCTAAATTTGGATCTGATGTGTTTTTATTATCCTTTGGGCACAAAGAATTTTCTAATTATTTATTTTGTATTGATCAATGTGTTATTCAGAAGTACAAGTTTGATGACAGAGTATTCTTATTTCTTTTCTTCTTTTTTTCATATTTATTTATCTAAATACTTAATTTTTAAGAGCAGTTTTAAGGACAGCAAAATTAAGAGCAAGGTATAGAGATTTCCGCCGTATCCCTCCCCACCACACACTCATTCCCCCATTATCAACATGCACCACCAGAGTGATACATTTTTAACAACTGAAAAGCCTACATTGATATATTATAACCACTGATAAGAGTTTACATAGGGTTTACACTAGGGTTCATTCAGTATTGTACATTCTATTGGTTTGGACCAATGTATCCATCATGATAATATTCAGAAGATTATTTTCAGAGCCGTAAAAATTCTCTGTCCTCTGTCTGTCAATCCCTCCCAAAGCGCTCCCAATCCCTGGCAACCACTGCTCTTTTTCTAACTCCACAGTTTTGTCTTTGCTAGAATGTCATATAGTTGTAATAATATAATAGGCAGCCTTATCAAACTGGCTTCTTTCACATAGTGCATGCATTTAGGGTTCCATGTCTTTCTATGACTTAATAGCTCATTTCTTTTCAGTGCTGGATAATATTCCATTGTCTGGATATTCCACAGTGCATTTATCCATTCATCTGCTGAGGTACATCTTGGTTGATTCCAGGTTTTGGCAAGTATGAATAAAGCTGCTATAAAAGTCTATTTGCAGGTTTTGCTTAGACATGATTTATCAACCCCTCTGGGTAAATACCAAGGAATGTGATAGCTGGATCACATGGCACAAACTGCTAAACCATCTTCCAAAGTATCTGTGTCATTTTTTTTTTAATAATTCTTTGGGTTCTGGGGTACATGCGCAGATCATGCATGGTTGTTGCATAGGTACTCACATGGCAGGGTGGTCTGTTGCCTCCATTGCCCGTCACCTATATCTGGCATTTCTCTCCTTGTTATCCCTCCCCAACCTCCCCACCCTCTGCTGTCTCTCCCCTAACCCCCGGCAAAAGACTCCAGTGTGTGACGCTCCCTAGGCAAGAATGAATCAGAATATTTAGAGGCCAGTAAGCTGAAATGTACCTGCTTTGACAATCACTCTATTAGAGTGAGGTATAGCAGAAACCTTATTTTAGGCATATAGGATTCACCTCCTGCCTGTAACATGGCTCATATCACTTGCTTTACTGTTTATATACATAAGATCAAGTTGATGCTTTGTGCAAAGCTTTCCTCATGCTGGGATTTTTTTGAAGAAGGATTTATAGAGTATATGACTCAGAATACATAATATAATGTCTAAGACCAATGCAAACCATAACTATTCTGAATTGTCTTCGTGGGTACTCACGTGCTGAATTGTCTGTCTTATGCAGGCTGACCACTGGGACCCTTGGACCTGGAATTTAAAAATATGTGTATAAACATTTTTTATCTAAGTAAGTTTACATAATGTTTTTTTAAAGACATCTAAGTAAGTTTACCTAATGTTTTTTTTTTTTCCTGCAAATGGAAGCACTTTGTGGTTAAAACACAATGAAACAGAAACCAGACCACTAGCTTTCATTCCTATTTATAGATATTTTATTCAGAAAAGTAAGTGTATATGGGAAGGAAACTATTTGCAGAGATTATTGTGAAGATTCTCTCTTCCCTTAAATGCTCTATATTTGTTTTTAGCTAATTATACATGCTTTCTCTTTATTGCTAGTCTCTTATAGAATAGTCACTGATGTTCAGAAAGCTGATTCATGACCATTTCACCACTTATCCACTGATCCAAGATTAAATTCTATTTGCCACTCAGCCAAAAAAGAAAGCAAGCATGCATATTTGAAATAGTTCATCCATAAGGAAAGTTTAAAAATTGGGTGGTAATTATATGTTAATATAAAAATACATTAACCATAATCTCCAATTATTTAAAATATACTAGCTAATATGTTATTGTTAAAAGTTATCTTGAAACTTCACTTCTCTAAGAAATCCCATCTAAAACTAATGTTTTGGGTTTTTTTTCTGGTGTCATTAAACAAGAACTTCTTTTTTGATTACTTCATTTCATTTATTAAGAGAAAAACAGTTTTAAAAAGTAAGTCTTCGTATATCTCTCATTGTGTCTTTAAAAAGCACAGCTTAATATATCAGTCACTGTAGCAGCACTCAATTCCTCATATTAAAAGAGGACACATGAGTTCCATTTAATCTCTGGGAAATACAGTATCATATTAAAGGGAAAATGATTTCTCTGAATATATTATAGAGATACTACATAAGCATGTAAGACTACAGCACATTGTTACAAAATGGGAAAAATAATAATGGTGAATATAATTGTTCAGAACTGAAGAAAGCTAAAGCAGGAGAATTCAATTTCTATAGGTTCTAAATTTCCATAGATCCTAAATCTCTTAACAACCAAGGCATTGTTTTAACAAGAATACTACTATTACTTTTCCTAAAGACTAGGTAAATTAGTTCATGATTGTGGCGTGGCTTTGCTGATATAAATATATTTATTCACCTTTTAAAATTACTCATGTTCAAATAGCACTTATTAATTATGTGTTAGTTTATTGTCTTACTCTCAATTTTTATTTCTATATGAAATATATAAAAAATTATATCTTGGTAAATCTATATATAATATATATCCTTTAAAAAATTTACAAATTAAGAATATGAAATCATCTGAAGTAATATTGGCTAATGATACCAATAGATACTGATTAAATGCAATGAATAAAATATATCAGAATTCATACATTATCTTACCTTCACAGAATAATAAGAAATGTTGATTCATGGGACTAAAACTGGCATCAAAATATGTACATTGTTCTTTCATAAAATTACATGAAATGCATTGGCGATTCAATAATCCTTCAGTAGAAGCACTGGAGAAAGAAAAAGTCAGTTATCATAGAAATGCTACTATTCTAGGCACTTGAATGTGAGGCATTCATATTTAAATTTAATATAAATAGTGGAGTTACACTGGTGCTTGCATAGAGGTTCATTGTAAACTATGACTCACTATATACACAAAAAGTCAACTTCAATTAGTAATGTTAAAATACATTTTTCTTAATCTATTAACATTAAAATTATATATTCCTGTATGTATGTAATATGTATGCTTGTAGGCATGGCTACAAACAAAGAACTGATTTCAATGGAACTCAAAATAACTTATTGTTTAATAGATATTTCTGTGTAAAACCTTAAAGGGAATTTTCCACAGAGACTATTCAATATTCAATATTTAATACATAGTAATTGAAAGAATGAATAAATATTTCCACAAGTCAAACAAAAAAAATCAAGCTCATTATTTTCTTAAACATTAAAAACATTAGAATTTGGTAACAGGGCCAAATTTCCCCCATCATTTACTTGCAGAAAAATTATTGATTAAAAAATGTTGTATCTGTATTACGACACATATAATGGCTAATGACAATACATACTTTGAGATAAAGAGGTGGTAAGGAGGAAAGTCATCATATTTCTTTTACAGTGATGGTCACAGAATTTGAGAAATTAATACAAGGTTGAATTTCATCTACCAAATTTTTTAATAAGTCCGAATGTAAAATTATATAGGTCAATGGATGAAAATACTGTTGAAAATACCTTTTAAAAACTTTATCAGACAAAAGGGTCTCAATTTCATTTTGGAATGAAACATGACTTTTGGATATATTTTTACAAATAAATAATACTCATGTTGATTTTGACGTGCAATATGCCGTAGGCATGGGGATTGGAACAGGGATGTTGAGGCAGATACAAGAAACAGTTCACAGAATCACAATTCCATATTTGGAACACTGTGAGATGACTACAATCTAAAATTTTCTTCTAGTTTTACTCATCATAACAGAATATTCACACTCAATTTTTTTCATTTTATATAATTTAGGTTAAATCTATATAACACAAAATTGTAATTTTAAGCATTTCTAAGTGCACAATTCAGTTTCACTAATCACCTTCATAATATCGTAAAATTTTCACCACAGAAAGGCTTAGAAATTACCCCAGTTGCATGCAGCTATTCAGTGACATACTAAGATTTAAAACCTTTTTCTCCCTACTCTTCCATAAAGCTTTTAGAACCAAGTTCCCTGAAGATTTATGTGGTATTTTCTCATTATTTAGATTATGAGGTTGCTGAAATAAGGAGATACAAAATTTGAGACAAAGTGACAATGACTACTGTAGCAGTTCTGATCCTGCAGGGGTGCCTAGTGACATATATTAAGTCAACCAATGATCATTTTTATAGCCTGGGCAAGACACTGATTGCATTTCTGGGTCAAACACTAACATTATCTTACAGTCAAGCCAAGTGGCATTTGATGAGCTATTTAAGGGAAAATTTACTGGTACTACATTTTCTTTATAACACAGATGACTACACTAGTACATGTCAGAGATATATTGACTGTTCTGCCTTAGTCACTAGAGCGGTAAGACAGGCATACAAATCTAAGAAGTCATTATGATTCAAATCACATTTTAGACTAATAATGGGGAGAAAGATTGAGGCATTTCCATTTTCTGAACTTGGCCAAGTCTAATCTTCCGATGCTGTCATTTTTCTTTGAGTTTTATAAAGTGAGAGTTTTATAAGATATAACGTATGTCCACCTCTCTAAGGTATAGTTTATTGTTACTGATATCAATCATAATGTATATTTCAAGAAAGATAAGCTTCAGGTCACTAAAAGAAAAAATGACCAGTACTTTGATCAAGACCCCTAATGCAAAATGCAAATCACTAACTCTAGAGCTTTGCTTCCTGGCAGTCATTAGAATTAAGAACATGGGTTCCAGGAGGTCCAAGAGAATAAACTAAGAATATAAAAATTATGTATTAAGAAAGGCGATTAAAACAACAAGCTTGTTTCTGATGAAAGCAAATTGTGTATAACTAAGAGTGTGTGGGGTGATGTAGAGGAAGTTGGGATACTTTAAACATGCATTTTTACTCTCAAAGGAGAGTCAATACTACTTGGAAAGAATTAGTGGTGACGCTTCTTCAAACATGATGAATATCCCCTGATAATATGTCATGGCACCTTTGACACTTTAAAAATGGATCTGTAAAATGAAAATTAGAACATGTATATAAAATCAAGAATTAATAGGCTGTTTGCCAGCCAAAAAAGAAGTCATTCTTGTGAGATCCTGGTGAAAGCTTTCTGAGTTGAGGAGACATTTTAATACTAAATAGGTATGATCTGGAGCACTTTTTTTGAGTATAGTTTTGCATTTGGGAAAGTTGAGCACATGTAATTATTTTCCCATGTATTGCTTTATTTTAGTAAGCAATGAGCACTCATTATTTAAATGAGAATGCCTCCTCCTGCAACAATCTCATTGGGTTTTATGAACGACAGGACAAAGGGGGAAAGCTTCCTATTTGATACACTAGATAAACAGTTCACAACATTATATTGAACAGGAATAAATTTCACCTGTGCCACATTAATGCCCTGAAAACTCAAAATGAGACTTAGCAGAAGATAAAAGGAACACAAGGGAAAATATGTAAATGTCTCTGATGTGGAGAGTTGAGAGAAGTCAGCCACAAAAAAGATGTTAAGAAATTGCAAATGCAGGTGAAGAAAAGAATAAGGAGAGAGAAGAGTAGCAAGGGAGCAAGCAGGCTCCACTGTCTCCAGTCCTGCCAAGGGAGAGACTAGTGCAAGAGTGTGAAGCTTTGTCATGCGAAGTTCGCTCTCCCTAGCCATGCTGAAAAAGACATGCTGAATTTTTCCTTCCCTTCCTTATGCTACATAGATAGCCATTGAGAAGCTAATCTGTGTAAAGAAATCCTTGCAAACTGCTTACCTGTACAGCTGCCTTCCTCTAGGAGAAGACTCGGTGCTCAGAAAGTAACTGTCCAGGAAAGAAAATAACACAAGCATTAGACACAGATCTATTTTTTTGTGATCTGTAAATTTTGTCACATTGTCACATTTGAATCTTGAATTCACACTGAATCTTCACTTGAATTTTCAAAACTGTCAAAATATAGATAGGAGTTGTTTTGCTATTTAAACACAGGGCTTTGATACATCTGGAAACACAATTTTCCCCTGATAAAATCATCCTTTTTCATAATCTCTTCCAGTCGTGTGTGTGTGTGTGTGTGTGTGTGTGTGCATGCCTCTGTGTAATATGTCTCTGTGTGAAGTGTGGAAGAGGTCTTTAAAGAAAGGTTATTCTTTCCATGGCTGGCTTGTCCTGACTAGGACTATGGGGAGCAAAACATAATTCTAGTAGAAAAGATGGCATTTGACAACCCTGACTTGTAGCCTGACTAGAGAACTGAAAACACTCACATTTTTTGAGTAGTTTCATCATATGCCAAGATCTTTATCACTTCCCAGTTTCCTGATGTCAGATGCCGCACGGTAATTTGCTCACTTTTACTCTGCAAAGAAATAGAAAATATTGATTTTCCTTTTATTTAAACAGCATCTTTCTGGTAAACACGAATGTACCAACTGCTCATGACACTTTGAATTCTTTAATTTTCAGTTAATATTCAGTTTTCTGTTCTACAGCTCAAGGATGAACATGCATTCCTGTAAACACACACCAAGGCAAGTAGATTAGTGACTTTATTTCGACTACAGAAAAATCATTTGGAAAACTCCTCCAGGTGAGGGTGAGCCAAGTGTACCATTTTGATGGCAACATTTGATACCAAGTTGGGACTTTGATCACACGCATCTAAATGACTGGCAGCTGTATAGCTAGCTTTAAAAAAGAAAACATTTTAGAACAAACTACTCCAATAAATACTCAGCTCTCAGCTTAGTATTCATTTTAACCCTTGTAATACTACATTGCTGTAAGATTTGCCATTTCAATGCAATACTTTTTTTCTGAGATGAATTCATGTTGATGCTCATAGATACAGTTGTCACCATTATATGGTATTTTAATGTAAGAAGATAGCATATTTTTTCTGTTCTGACACTTGTTGTTTCTAAATTTTTGTTCTTAAAAACAAAATTTTTGTTCTTAAAAACAAAATTTTTGTTCTTAAAAACAAAATTGACTACGAACCTTCTCATTAATGTCTTCTGATGTATATGGCAGAGGGTTTTCTAAGACAAATACCTAGGAATGGGATTGCTTGGTAAAAGGATATACATGTCTTCTACTTAACTAGGAACAAATTATTTTCCAAAGCTGTACCAGTTTCTAATCTGTTAAGAGTTCTTATTGGTCCATCTCTTTCCTACTGCCTCACCAACAGTTATTTTCATTAGACTAATTGATTTTTGTCAAACTAATGCATATAAAATGGTATCTCATTTATTTCCTACATATTTAGCAAATACGCAAACCTGTAGAAAGTTGAAAGAATAGTACCATGAATATCCATGCGATCTTTACCTAGATGCACATTTTGAGTATTTCTGCTTGGTCCATTTTGATTGCTGACATTTGACAGCAATTTGCAGACATCATGTTATTTCAACACAGAATGATTAACAATCATTCAATCTTCACACTCAAGATTAACAATATTTTACCATACAAGTATTATAAATCACATCGATGAAGATTATATTAAATACATAGTCAGGTGTGGTGGCTCACGCCTGTAATCCAAGCACTTTGGAGGCCAAGGTGGGCAGATCTCCTGAGGTGAGGAGTTCAAGACCAGCCTGACCAACATGGTGAAACCCCGTCTTTAAAAAATAAAAATAAATAAATACGTAGTCTATATTAAAATGTATGCAACCATCCCAAATAATTGTGTGTATTTGTATGTATATATAATTTTATGTATTATATGTATTTAAAATAAATACGGGAATGAATCAAGGTTTACATATGGCATGAGTTGTCATCTCTTTAGTCTCTTTTAAAGTAAAACTGTCATACTATCTTTTTTGTTTTCTACAATATTAAGCATTTTTAAGATTCTTGATCTACTGGTCTTGTATGGAATATTGACTATTTTGATTTTATAAAGTTGTTTTCTTATGATTTAATATAAGTAAACAATTTTAAAAGAATATTGTATGGGATATACTGGATACCTCCTCTGCATTGTATCAGGAGGCACATCACTGCAGGTCTTCCACTCATAGCAATGCTGTTTACGTGAAAACTGCAAGACTTATTCATCATAAAAGTAAGTTTTGCCTTGTAATTAAAAATGGGGTAATACTTGCACATTATAAGAACATCTTTTTCCTGGTGAACTTTTCAATCAGCAGTTTGGCATCTGTTCATGACCATTCCCTGAATGAATTATTATTTTGAAGTGATATCTAATTCTAATATAACTTCTATATCTATTATATAGCATTCTTTGTGAAATAATTTATCCTGCTTTTCTTACTCATGTGTTCCCATTCTCTTTCTCTCTCTCCTCCTCATATTATTATGAACTCAAGTATATTATGTAATGCAACATTTTACATTTTATTACTCTTATTATCTTTATGGTGTTGAAAGAACATCAACAATTGGATAGAAGGAACTCCTTCAAGTCAACTCCTCTATTCTTCAGACACTACATTAGCCTTTGAGCACTTCTTTGATTTCTGTAAAGACGTTCCAATATTCTTTTTGCTTTCTCTGTCACATAGCTGTGATTGATCATTTAACCAAGGAGCCTCAGTTCTTTCCACTGGATTATGATATTTAGATATCAAGATTTGGAGTTAGGTATACTCATTCCAATTCTAATCTTATTAGTTCCAGGATTTTTTTTTAAATGAGGGCATACAAATCTCTATAGACAGATGAAGCAGATAGATGGATGGACAGATAAAGACAGAGATTTCCATATACTTCCTGTTTCTCCATTCATGTGTATATGTATTTCTGTGTGCTTGTACTAATACACCCAATTACATGTATATCAGTTTTATTTATATTTAGGTAGACTTGCTTATCTTAGTATTTCAATTCAGGCCTTAATATCTTCATTCATTTTATTTAGGTTTCCTTAAAAATATGTACATGATTCAACAAATACATTGTATAGATATGTATAGACAGGTATGTATATATGCATGCATGTATATATGCTGAGAGAGGTCCTGGTCTCATACTTATGCCCACTTTTATCATATTAAAAATTTATTCATTTTCTAATTGTTCCTTTTCTTTTAAAAATTATAATAAAATTGTTTTAATTTCATAATTATAAATATGAATATAATCCTAAATATGCCAATACATAAAAATTTAAGCCTTTCCCCATCTTTTTTATTCCTGCATAATTCTCTGTTGTGTGAATGTACCATAATTTATTCAACTAGCCTCCAATGACTTACATCTCAAACAATGCTGCAGTGATTCTGTGTATGTGTTTGTTCAGCGTGCAAGGATACATCTGTAGGATACATTCCTCCATAGGTGCAGTATCATCTTGCACATCTATCAACAATATACATGACTGCCTTCTCCCGCAGAGATATGTTACAGAGTGTGTTGTTCAGTGTGAATTTTGACATCCTGGTAAGTGATATAAGTGATACTAAGATGTATCGATCAAAATTCCCTTCTGGAATAAAAGAATTATTTGACCTGTGGTTTGGAGTGTGCTTGGTCAGTCTTCTATTCTTATCTGTCACTCTTCTTTAGGAATCACTTGGTGCTATAGACAGAATGTTTCCATTCTCTTTGCAAACTCATATGTTGTAGAACTAATGTGATAGTATTTGGAGGTGGGGTTTGGGGGAAGTAATTAGATAATAAGAGTGAATAACTCTCATGAGATGAGTTCCCTTGTAAGAAAAGAGAGAGATGATCTGTCTCTCTCTGCCATGTGAGGATACAGCAAGAAGGCTACCATCTGCAACCAGGAAGTGAGTCATCACCAGAAACAAATCAGCAGGCGCCTTGATATTAGAATTCTCAGCCTCCGATATTTTGAGGAATTGATGTCTGTTGTTTAAGCCACCAATTCTATAGTATCTGTTACAGCAACCGACACTAAGACACCTGAACTAAAGAAAACTGTCTCGCCCAAGAGCACACTCTGCAAAGACAGCCCCCATTTAAAGCCAGATTGATCAATATTGGCAGGCAGAACCCAGCCCTCTTGCTCTGACTTAGGACTGTTCTGAAGGGCCATGCCATCCGAGGCCTGAACTCTCTGTGGATCAGCTGAGGCATTCATTCAGAGGGCACCACAGCTCAAATTACTCTGTCCAATCTTGCTTCTGTTCCCTTCTTTCCAAAGTTATTGATCTCCTATGGATTAACTGACCTGTGGGATAATCTTCATTTCACCATTTGCTTTCTGTGGAATTCAATTTATGAAGTTATCTTGCTGTAATTTCGTTTTGTTTTTATCTTAGAAGTTGAAAATATGTATTTTTTAAAATAATTTTATAATTGCAAATGGTTATTTGATGATATTTAATTCATACTGAAGTATTGTTTTAAAAAATTCCGCTGCTTCATAATTGTATATCTGAGGGAGGATTTTCATCATGTATTGAACAGTTTAATTCCTACTTTTCATTTTGCTCACATAGCAAATTTGTATAATCTATTGCCAGCCTATATTTTGTTCTTTAGAAGTATCTTGAATTTTCCAAAATATACATACATAAGTGTGATGAAATAGCTTTCTATTACTAATACCCTAAAGATTAACACTCTATTGAGGAACCTAAGGTGGCACTATTTGGATTGAACAGACATTCTGATATCTAATAAACTTTTTTTGCAGGGTCTTTAATTTCTATCACTACTTTCCGTCTTTTCTTTTGCCTCAAATATTTCAAGAGACAACTCTCCCTATCATTTTTTTGTCTCTTTTTAGGTGGTATTTTTAAAAACTGTTATCTCTGGTTTTGTACATACTCAAGCTACTTCATTCTAATTCCTTATCTCAGTGCTAACTTTAAAGGGAATATTACGAATACTCCATTATCAGTTATGCTATATTAATGAAACTTTTGGCAAGTGCCTTCATCACCTTAAAGAAGTTCCCTTTATTCCTAAATTTTTAAGGTTTTCAAACACTCATTTTGTTGAATCTATTTGGATCCTACATCTGTATCTATTAAGGTGATGATAATTTTCTTATGAAGATTTAAACACTGTCAATTATCTTATATATTTTTGAAATTATAAGGAAATGTAACAATCCTGTGTGAAAAATATAAGTTAATTTTTTATATGCATTAAATAAGTCAACTTGTCAATATTTGGTTGAGTATTTTAAACTTTCTTATATGGGCCTTGCTTATATTGTCTTAATTTGGTTTTGGCTGCAAGATGATACCTGTGTCATAAATTCTATTAAAGATATACCATCTTTTTTCATTTTCAGAATAATACAAAATTAGAAGTACATGTTCCTAGACTATCTGGTAAGATTCACTTTTAAAAACCACCTTTCCCTGATGTAAAAAATTTCAAAACACTGATTCCATTTTCTTAACA